TATCCCAAAAGGAAAACGTTCCTTCCAACAGAGAATGAGAAAATTAGACCCCATGGCATGCTTTTGCTTGTTTTTTGATTTATCTACAATGTTACAATGGTGAATTATCATCTTAGACGTGACCTAAAGCTCAAAAAATGAGGTGTACTGTATGTATGTTCTAGTACTTCTATGCAGAAGCAATTCGGTTTATACACGTCTCTCAAACTCTCGCTCACGAGACAATGTTTTTTAGAAAAAACAAGTATGAAGTTATAGTTTAAGGATTTCCTTGAATGGTCATATTCTCCAGGCAGTTGCGCATTCATGTGAGCTTGCCTGACAACCATTGGTGCCATTGTAAAAGTGGAATTTTTCCACTGCATGTGGTTTTGTGGATATATTTTACCTCCTGCTGCTGCACTGTGACCAAAGGATGTGGAGAAAACTACAGGGTCTGAGGTTACTGCATGTCCAGGGACTCTCTGTTTGACCTGACTGGGTCTAACCTACAAACAGCCTGCCTGTGAAGCCTCCCAAGGCGGTGAATGATCAGCTCATCAACACTGGATTCCCCCAGAGCACAGTACCTGTTTGTTCTGACTGCTTGAGGCCAGTGTATCTGCTGCATGTGATGTGTTGCTGGTTAACCAGTGGATTATCAACCCATGATGTTATTGTCAGTGCTATGCTACCTGTTGGAATTAGTTTCACTACTTTGGGACTGTATGTGGTCATGTGGGGGAAGACACAGTGGCCACCTGTTGGATTTACCGGCCGTGGAGCTACTTGAAAGGGAGTGATGTTTCCACTACTTGGTGGGACTTAGCGGTAAGTTAAAAAAAAAAAAAAACCACATGCTGCATGTCTGTTAACGCCTTGTTTCTGTAACGTTAGAGAGAATTGTTGTAAGGCTGGAGAAGTTACTATGTCTGCATTATGACAGTTAAAATATGGGGTTTCTCAATTACTCACTTTATGTAGGGTGTTGCACATCTCTTTCACCGGTACATATACCGTTGTTTACTTATTTATGGAGGAAAAATTCAGATGAATTAATGCCATTGTGGTTCGTTGTGCGGTCCACTTGCAACACAACATCGGCAACAGGAGGTGTGCACATTCACAAACTATTCTCTTATTTTTAGGAGGAGGCTCTGGTTTTATCTTGGAGACATCGTGGATGCCAAGATAATATAGAGGTACCCAGGATTAAATATTAAATGGCTGTAAATGAGCAAAATGAGCAGCCATGGGCACTTCAAGCAGTAGAAGGAGACTGAAATCCTCCTGGCCTCAGTGGCTAAAAGCTTGCGCAGTGCTCACTTCATTTCTGTTGAGTGTTTCTATCCAGTGTTAGCTTATTATTCTTTACAGCCTTCTTGAAAAGACACCCACAAGATTGGAAGAACTAAAAGGAATGTTATAGTTAATGGTGCAAGATGCACAACAATTTGAATACTAATGTATATGGTTTTTCTTTAACTTCTTTTCTCAGCTTTTTTGGCCATGTCTTTATGTTAACTTTACTATTCATGTAAACCAAGACAGAAACAGTCAAATTACATCCTGTATAGACTAAATATGGCACAGTGGCTACTCTCTCACCGCTGGGTGAGAGAGGAAGAAATAGGCGGGACCCAGAGAGCATTGTATTGACTCAGGTTAAGGTAGTTTTATTACAGCTCACAGTATCAACAGATGGATGGTGGTAAAATGAGGTGCTTGCTTTGACCCAGGCTGATGAAGGCAGAAGGTAGAGGTGAAGGGTTGGAGGCCCAGTTATTCACACCGGTCGTTACCTTGGCAATGGAGGCAGAACAGCCAAACTCTAGTCCCTAGGAGAGCACAAGACAGAGGGAGAGTGAGAGTGAGAGTGAACATGAGCAGAATGGGTGTTAGACTCACGAAGTAAAAGGTTAGGTTGGAAGTTGCAGCCGAGGCATGGCCGAAGCAGAACGGCACTGGGACACAGGTGGGTAATTGCTGAGAGTCGGGTTAGTGAGGGTTATTGCAGAAGCTAACCTGGAGCAGACAGCGGAGGGACGGCCAGGCAGGATGGTGCCGATGCGTAGCTGAGAGGTTCGAGCTAGTAGCGGTGCAGCCCAGGAGACAAAAAACGACTTGGATTACCCAGGAAGACACACAGCAGATCGATGTGCAGAGACAACTTGAAACAGTCTTACTAGGAGTGGTGATTGTCATAGATATGAGTTGAACAGAAGCTAGTAGCTTATTCCGCGGCCAAGCTTCGTAGTAGGGGTAAAAACAAACTGGCAACGTCTGCGCCTCTGAGCAGCTTCTAAATATGTGGCCCAGTAATCAGTAGTGATGTGTTGTTCATTTTGAACGAATCTTTCCCGTGACTCAAGGATGTCGGGTCGTCTCGAGGAGTGATTCGTTCATTTTTTGTTGAAACTGATCAATATGTGTGTAAGTAGATGGGGAATTAACATGTAATATTTTAATAATATTCTGCTGAAGTGAACAAAAAGATTCAAAAAAGGTTTATTCATTTTGCTGAACGAGATTCAAAGAACTGAATCAGTAAAATGATCCGAACTTCCCATCACTAGTAATCAGCTGATTCACATCAGCTGCAAGCTCCACTGGAAGTGTGTCTGGAGAGCGAGAGAGGCAGGTGACAACAAGCAAACCTGACACACAGAGCATTTTATTTATCAAAACCAGCTGATCCGTTGTTATAAATGATTTTGGATATTACATCCATGGTGATGACTGATGTACAGTAACAGCCGTTCGTTCAGTGAAAGACCATACATGATCTGCAAGTAATTACTGGCTTTCTTAAACAGATTACTATTACAAATGATTAAAAAAATCTCCAAAAGACAAGCAAATATAATAGAGCACTAGTTTGCTTTCTGTCCCTGGATTCGCACATACTGTATCTTCAAATATTTGTCAAGGCCAAACCCGTCTGTAGGTGCTGGACTGCTGTGTGTGTGCCACTGTGTGTATATGCACAAATACAGTATATATGCTGCAGGTATGGATTTATGCACTATGAAGACTTGTGTGAGTGTGTGTTCCCCATTATCAGGAACAGCCTTGGGGGAGTTAATACACTAACACACTGGGAAATAACATGTAAAGAGCTGTCTGTCAACGCGGGGGCGAGCCCAGAGAAATAACCCAGGATTGGTGCAAAACCTCTGGTGTCTCTTTGATGTTGATTTTACATCCTGGGCTAGCACATTATTATTTACAAATGCACACATCAATGCTTCTTCTGGCTCTTGGTCGTATGTAGATAGACACAATCCATGGATAACAGTTGTGTACTGAACAAATAATAATCAGATTTGTCTTAGTCTGCACACATGTGCATGCTGCTCCCACATCCTACACTGCCCCCCAAGGACATACTCAGTGTACTGTGGCTCAAATGCAGATACACTGAATGACACATTCATATCTTTTCCTCTCTCATTCTCACACTTCCCTCCTGAGGCCCAAATAGTCAAGCAATGACATCTGTCTTTGGTAGGTAGGTACGTACTTTATCGATCCCTCAATGGGGAAATTTCAGTGTTTCAGCAGCAATGGAGAACAAACAACATAACACCACAAGAAACAAGCACCACACACATATCTTGATAAACAAATTTCAGTACCTCAAGCAGCAATAGATTTGCAGCACAATTGCCTCCATTGCAACACATTCAACACCACTGAAACTGCTGCTAGTTTCTCCACTGTTCATCCTTACTTTACAGTATTATTACCACCATCTCTTGACCACCCATTTCAGCAGTTGCAAGAGCAAGTGACACCAATCCTAGGGGTTCTGATTTCTAAGTGTCTTACTGTATATGCACATGTTCTGCCTTTGGGGATACCTGATCCAACGTTTTAGCTGAAGTTGATCATATTAATGATGATGAGGATGAAGAACTGATTCTGAAATGGAGGATGTCTCCTACCGGAAGCAACTTAGACAGCTCCATATAATGTTTATGTCAAGGGCTACTTTTTGCCTGACAGTACAGCAGGTGGACTGTTTTGGTCCACAGATGAGGGTGACTGCAATAAAACTGAGACTCCAAGAGTGGAGGAAATAAGTGAATAAAGAGTATTGGCATGTTTAAAAAAAGAGTGTAGGATAATGACCTTAACGAATAAAACTTTCATTATTCTAGATTCATCTAATTGTCAATAAGTCCCATTAAAAAAACAAAACCAGTGTCAGTTTGACTCTGACAGCTTCTTGTAACGACATCCTTACTTTCCTGCTTGGTAGGTCAGTCCACCACTTTATCCCAGACGTAAATATCTCAACAACTAAAGGATGGATTGCCTTAAAAGTCATGGTCCCCTGGGGATGAATTATATTGTCTTTGGTGATCCCATGACTTTTACTGCAGCTCCACTGTGAAGCCATGTCTACACTGCAAATATAACATGTGTAGGGCATAACATCTGGCGTGCAACTCACATTTGTGTTTACACCAGACTCATGTTCACTCGCACACTGGAACCACTTGGTGTACAAAAAGCATACAGAGGAGGCTACAGAAACACATTTGAAATGGGAAAACTACAGTCCAAAATTACAGTAGATGCAAATGAAAGCAAATTAAAATTACACAATTTAAAAAGAACAATGTTCAGTAATATTGATGTAACAGATCTTGTGATTTAACTGTGTTTAATCAAGTGAGCTAGTGAGAAAGCTACAGTAATAGATCAGGTTTTGGCTACACAGACAATAGCCTACTTGTTAGTATGATCAAGTCATTGGTCTTTGGTAGAGCATATTACCATCTGTATCCTTTGTGTAGTGCTCTAGTGTTATTAGACATTCAGTAAAGATAATCTAATAACATGGCCTTCAGCAGCCCAGCATGGGACATACAGTTCATCATTGCTTTGCTGGTGGTGAGACACACTTGGGGCTGTTGGCAATGATGATAAGTTTTCAAAAATGAGAAATTTCATTCTGCATCATTCCTCTGTTTTACTGGTTGTATAGTCATCATTCCCCCCTTCTCTCCCAGATAACAGCTTTTGATGAGCTCCAGGCTGACTTCAAGGTGCCAATCGATCAGGGCAATCCCCTTCATGCGGTAGGTTTCCTTCCCCTTCTCATTTTCATTCATACAATCAAACATTTTCCTTACATGTTTCTTTTGATTATTGTTCTTTGTTTATGTGTGGGTGGCAACTGTAATAACATATGGAAAATGATTCGCTAAAGGCCACAGACGTTCATACATGACTTTCACTGTAATCATCATTCTTTCTTTCCATTAATTTTAAATCAAGCAGCTGGTAACATATCAGTTTTGTACACCCTCTTCTCCTCACTTCTTGTCTGACAAGCAGACTCCTGCTATATGCAGGATCATCTTTTAATTAAAAAACTGTGACAAGTCAGAAACAGAGATAAGCATGGCATTCACACTGCTGACATATACCATTACAAGCAACTTCTCACCATGTGCTAACCCCAACCATGTCAATCCTTATATCCCCAGCTCGACCTTTAGTATAGCCTAACCTCAGTTCAGGACGAATGTCCCTAAAATGTCAACATCCAGCTATACAGTCCTGTATGTGCTGAGACTGCTACTATTTATTTCTACAGGAATGCTCACAAAGCTACAGTATGTAACATTGCTTTATCAAAATCTAAATGCTAAAATAAAACTAGAAAGTTGCGAAGAGAGTCCTGGGTTGAGCTATCTGTCTAGTTAGTGCACAAAAAGATTGTCATTGTTTGACTTTACTTTTTTACAGTTTTCAAGTTGTTGAAGGTGGATTGGATCAAATCTAAACAGACACGAAACTGTATGGTGTCAGTTTTTAAGCATGTCAGATTGTGATCAAAATGTTCGGCGAGTCCCAGAAATACCAATAGTACACACAAACATCAACTAAAATCAATAACAGTAAACTCACAGCCCCTTCAGTGGAATAGCATCATTTGTCAGCACCTTCCTAAAACTTTTCTTATAACTGTTCGGTTATGAATGTTCAAATAATGCAGAGTCTGTGGTTAAGGTATGTTAGGTTTTAGGCACAAAGTTAAAATTGGAGAAATACTGAAGTGCCTGTTATTAATGCCAAATTGTTTAAAAAAGAAAAATCATGGTTACATTTCAGAGATGCCAACACTGACTATGTGCTTGTGTAGGAAATGGGAAACAGTGATCTCTTTTGTCAAAGTCATGAACATTTTTGGATGAACAATCCACTCTGAACTCCATAGACCACTAATAACACCATGAGACTTATTGTACGTCTTTGCTTTAAACAGACCAGAGTCAGACAACCACTGGAGGTTATTTGTCTACTAAGGTTAATGTATATTAGCCATTTGCTGACATTTTTTTGCACTTCTACATCACTTCATTCTGTATTCAGTGAATGGTGATTTGTAAATGTTATATGTTAGTGTAAAGTGGGAGGAAGGTGTCATTTCAGCATTTCTTTTTTTAAGCAACACACTTTTTCCCTGTCTCTTCTCTTTCTGCTACCTTTTTTTCTGTCAAAATGTCTCACAGTGAGGAAACAAGCAAATATGTTCCACTTCATCACTCGTCAAAATTGCCACAGCAGCAATCAGAAGATGTGAAGACAGTAGTGTTAGCTAGCATGAGAAACCTCTGCCAACCCCCAAATGAAGTTGTTTTAGGATGAATTCCAGACCTTTGAGTCCATTTCCCTTGAGTCTTCTGGGCTTTTCTAACACAGTTGGCTCTTAATAATGCATGGTGCTACAGTACAACGCAAACAGTTAGTTTAGAGGTGACTATGACTTAAGAGGTCTGGATTATATAGACTCTCTGGAGAATTAGAATTGACTTCTATACATCCTTAGGACTCTGTGCCTCCTAGGGATACGCATGAGAGATGAAAGAAAGTTGTAGAAATATTGATGAAAAAATTGCAAATTGAGTGGAGGAGTGAAATGGAAACAGGAAGAAGGAGAGAGTGTAGACTGAGGATTGCTTGAGATGCAAAATGAAAATTCTCTGGCTTGCACAGCATTTTCAGGAACAGTGCATTAGACCAAATCTTGTCATTTATATTTTCTCATTTTCATATCATTCTGCAGTGCAGATATAAAACAAAGACATTGGGGGAATGTATACAAAAGGTTCAAAGACTTCAGGGTTTCTAATTTCTCATTCTTTTCCTTTCTTCTCCCACTTTCCTGTTTCCTAATGTCATCCTTTCCCTCCTGCTTCTCATATGAAAGGCACCACTGCTCCCTGTTTCCAGATTAAAATGTGGCGCTGAAATGCAAAACTTTCAACTACACTCATTAAATATGTGCTTAAATTCATTAAATCGATTGTTAAAAAATAATAAACACCTTTTGGGGGCTGTGATGATACTGTATTTACTTTACAATTACATCATTATGATTTTCAAGTCAAGTCAGCACACACAATAACTCATAACCATTAACCCAATAACACAAGTTAAACAAAAGACCCTACTAGACCACCATTCTTCACTACACACAGCACATACACTATAGTCTGCTCATCTACTGTATCTTTTGAAAAGAAAATGAAAAAGCATACATCTCAAAATAATGATCTTTACCCTTTATTCCCTTCATTTAGTAAAACATTTAAACATCACAGAAAAATTGTGTGAACTATATTTTAGCTACCAGTATATGCAATTAGTGGAATTACTGCTTCACAGATATATGCTTCTGAATGTGATAGTGCACAGGTCACTGACCTTCACCTTTATCCTTGAACCACCAAAATCCAATCACTTGTGTCAATTTGAAAAAATTCCCTTAAGGTGTTCCTGAGATATCACGATCATGGATGGATGCCACCAGCTGTGGCAGAATCAAAAACATAGGTAACTCCCACAGTTTTTTATTTTATTTTTTATGCTTGGAGTTGATTTAGTTTCCACGTATTGTCAGGTCCACTCGGCACGACCTGCCTCTCTTCCGCCTTTCTCTCCTCTGCTCTCTCGACCTGCGGGATCTGCACCTCAGCTGTGTTGCATTCGGTAATTAGCAACTCGTTTGTCGGTGCGCACAGCTGGGGTGCATCCCTATGATTACCTTCCTCCTTATTTAAACCTCTGGCAGATGCTCCGTCATCGCCGGAGCATTAACTTGCATACCCCGTAAGAGACCTATACCTATATTCGTGGTATGTATCGTACGTTATTTTGTTTTCCACGCTGACAGTTCCTGTGCTGTGGATCTCATTTTGTACGTTGGTTACATGTTTTGTGTCATACGTTTCTAGACATCCACGCTAACAGTTCCTGTGCTGTGGATCTCTTTGAATGGTTTTTTCCATTAGGTTAGCCAGACGTTATTTTTGATATCCACGCTGACAGTTCGTGTGCTGTGGATTTCCTTTATCGTTCACCTATCTTCCTGGTTAGCTTGTCTATTCCCCTATCCGTCCTCATCCTCCTACTCTCCTGGTTCCTGTCGTTAGCCTGTCTACTCCCCTGGTTGTCCTGATCTCCACAGCCATCTTTGCCCAGCCCTGGTTGTATGTATTCATTGACTCTGTTCCTTTTTGTGCAGCCCCCACTACTCCACCTTTTTTACTAGCACCTGGGTCAGCAATCTTGAGTCCTACCTCAGTTTTCCCTCACCCTCCTGGTGAGGGGGACTAAACCCTAACAGAATGCTCCGGCCAACAATGGACTCAGCTGGCTCAAGTGCTAGCCTTCCCTCGTCTTCATTCACCAGCCACAGACTGAATCAGCCTCGGTCACAATTTTCCATTAATAGAGACCTACCTGTGGAAATCCAGGACATTTACCATCAGTTAAAAGCACAAATGTTTTCCCCATTTTCTTTTTTCCCTGGGGTAGCTCCCAAGCTCTCACCTCCACAAACTCTTTTTCTCTCCATGCGGCTGAGCACCTTTTTTCTGTCTCCTATTCTGGAGCCCACACCAGTGTCCACCGGTTTTGCCTCCTCACCCTATGCTGGTACTCGGTTGGCCCTTTGTCCAGGTGGTCCTGGAGGGGGATGGAGCAGGAGGAAGAGTCAACGCCAGCCAGCTCCCCAGCAGTCAAAGCCATCGCTGCAGCTTCAGCCCCAGCAGTCCAAGCCATCGCTGCAGCTTCAGCCCCAACCTGGTTCCATGCTGCAGTCACCTCGTCTGTCCCGTCCAGCCTGCCAGCTGTGGCCTCCACGTGCTCCCCAGCCTGCTTCTTTCCAGCTGCAGCCTCCACGTGCTCCTCAGCCTGCTCCTCGCCAGCTGCGGCCTCCACCTGCT